TCGGTATCGGTGTATAACGAGTCACGAACGTCGTCAGGGAAATGATCTCGTGTTCCCCAATGATGAGGATCGTGAGCCGACGAGGCAACGTTGATGATACGTCCATGTTCCTTATCCATACTGTGCAGAATAAGCAAGACGAGTAGGAAGTTGGCCAAGTAGTTCATTCCAAAATGCACCTCGAAGCCATCGTTCGTGAAAGAACGCCCGCTAACCTGTTGCATGGCGGCATTGAGAACCAACGCGTGGATGGGTGGAATTTCGCCACTGGAAACTCTAGCGTTTAGACTGGTAGCGAATGCTCGTACACTAGCGAGTGTGCTGAGATCCAACGAGAGGATTTCATAGAAATGGTCTTTAGGTGCTTTCTCGAGTAGCTCCTTGAGTTCTGCAGCGCGTTCAGGACTACGCACAACGTAAAAACCTTTATAATCTTTTGCATATGGCGACCTGATGAAACAGGATACGAAGCCTCTGCCCAAAGCACCGTTGGCGCCAGTAATGAGCATACTGCCTTTGAAAGAGGTCATGAGTGAGCGAATAAAAAAAGGGGGAAGGACGGATTGAATTTTAATGCAGTATGCCTTCGGCAGACTGACGCAAGACGATTGCCGAACTTTCAATCGCGTTTCCTGAGATTCATCGACTCACCGTTCCATTTCCACGCAAGGCCACAACTATAACATCGTCTCCGACCATCGCTCAAAGATTGTTTGATGCATATAAGATGAGAGTTGTTCGTTAAGAAATCTGACTTCGTATTTCCCTTGGTTAGTCTTGGATGTCTTTCGTAGGTCGGCGTTGTACTGTTATTAGAGAAACTGTATACGCTGTTTCAGTAGACTGGTACCAATGAAAACATCTGTGAGGAAAGATGGCAAAGCCGCCAAATTTGGAAAGGAAAACACATTTCGAAATGCTACATTCGGTACCAGGTGAACAGAGATGGTCCTGTTTGGACCTTGTTCATTGAGAATTTCTGGTGTTATTTTGGGCACGGGCAGCGCAAAATGAACCTGCACAGAGTACGCCTATCCCTTAGTAGTAGCGACAATGTCCGTGCTCAAGTCCTATATAAAGTCAGAGTCAGCTATATCGAACGGACAGGAAGGAGGAGGGAAGAGAATGCGCAATAGATAGTTATTACAGGATGAGCAAAGGAAAGTCGCGATTAAGATTGCGAGCTGTCATGAAGCCCATGAAAGCCATGAACGTTGTAAAGAGAGATCAGGGAAGCATTTGCGAAACCTGAAACCAGATAGTAGGAACGAGGTGAGGGTGAAAACTGGTGAAAGACAGGATAGCGATGGCAAAATTCCAGGGATTCTCAAAAGTCGCGTTCTGCTATCACATAGGCGAAAACTCTGCACATCTTGATAGCAAAGTAGGAGGATGTTCGCAGGAAAAAATGCCTGGGTATCGATGAGTAATTCAATTAGGGCTTTGAGCGCTTACATTGAATAACTTTCTTACGCTGTCTTTTTCCTTTCTTCTGGCTCTGGCATCAGTGTTTCTTTTGACACTCCTGTAGGGCGGAACGACGCACTGTCTCGTGCAAAAAAAACAAATCTCGAAAAAGAAGACTGGTTAGGGGATCCACAAAGGTATATTCAGCACTACTCTATAAGCATGTGTAAATTCCAAACAGACTTCAGATATTTCTGGAATTGCGCTGCGGGGATTGTAGAAACACATAGAATGTATGTCCCATAATGTGTGCTCTTGTCCTCCCGCTCTCAAACACAAAGCACAGTTCTATCCATGTCAACTGCCTCAGTCGTACAGCCCGAGGCACCGCCTACTCCTGGTCGTCAAAACGACTCGTTATGCACGGGGGAATCCATGACCGTCTTGAATCGCAGCACGACGCCTAGTGTGATTAGCTTTGCCGAAAAAGAGACAGTCGAAGCAAATAGCGCAAGATTAGTGGTCGAGATCCAACGACCTATATCGGAAACAAACGTCAACGCTATAGCTTCTTCATCGGAGCAACTTTCCTTTGTCTCTTCTTCCAACTCAATTCAGAAACCAGAACTGGTGTCCTCAGCCATAACAACTCCCATTCAACCAACCTCTACAACCTCCGAAGGCGCCTTTACTTCTCTCAAGGACGCTCTCATGTCCTCTATCTCACATAACAATCTCCCTGAAAATATATATCTCGAAACAGATCTCCCGAAACATACTGGTATTAAACGGCCGAGAACGAATGAAGGAGGACCTGGTCGAGTGAAACGGTTGCGTCGCGACGATGAAGGAGAAGAATTGCCAGGGTCATGGTCATTGTCCAAGGTGCGGAATGACATACCGGTCCCCGTGACCGTATCCGCCCAAGATACTCCTGTTCAGGCGACTATTGAAGCGGACGACGAGGACGACGAGGCAGATCTCATTCGCCTATTCGTCGTCAGTCGGGCAGGCCATGTACTGCCTCCACCTTCCTCCTCAACTCCCACTGAATCGCAACTGTCAACGCGGTTTGATGACGCATCTCTCAGTGTACGAAATCTTAACACTCGCTTTGTTCGGAGTAAGGGAGAGCCTGGAATCAAGTCCAATTCAGATGGAGAAGACGTGAGGATTGATGGTGGCGAGACCGAACTCACCAGTGCCGTTCATATCACACCTGATCAGGAAATCAACAATGAAGAAGAGAACGCAACCAGTATGGATATCGATCGTAACATAACCTCTCTGAATTCCAAAGCCGAGATCCCTCTTCGTAAAGGATGGATATTCGCCGCTCTAGACCAAAATATCTACAGGAGCAAAAAAAAATCATCTTCTGATCATCCTTTGTCCCAAATTCTCCCCCGTATTCGCTTAGGTTGCTTCATTCCTAGTGAGGCGAAGCATTCAACCAACGGACAAGATCCAGATCGCCCCGCCTCGCTCAATCCGGGTGGCGTCAATCTGAATGCCGATGAACCTCCGCCTACTGAAGGGAACATTGACCTTTCAGGAGACGCGGACTTGGATCTTGATATGTATCCTGATGCAGATGATAACTCACAAGTCGGAATCGCGGTTTTAGACGACGGAGGCGATGATGGAGAGAGCGAAGAAGACGCTGTCACCGAGGTTGAATTGCCAATCGACGAACTCGCTGACGATGACGCTCATGAAAAGCAGGACATAGCTTCATTGCCATCGGTCCAAATTGCACAGATTGGCACACCTACAAAATCTGTAACATCCGAAACACTCAGCTCACTTGAACCTAGACGTTCTCTGCGCAAGCCCGTACATAAGCCCGTCACCCTAACGAACACGCCACGCCGGAATGTGGGTAGGAAAGCAGCAGGAACAGATGCGTCCATCTCGGCCGCGAATTCGATGAATAACATCAGTGCGACTACCTCTATCACTTCAACACCCATCAATGCTGGAGGAAAGAAAGGTTCGCTAGCGGGACGTAGGTCTTCATTGAAAAAAGTCGAAACCCAGGGGACGAAGAAAACTAGAGTCTCCACTACTGCCACTTCTACTTCGAAAGGAAAAGGAAAAACAAAGGAGGAGGATGTGGAGATGAATTCGCCTTCCTCATCGCTAGTGGGTCATGACCTGAATTCGAATGTAGCGGGAACAGAGTCTATATCAGCAGCTCTGAACACCAGCTTCAAGCGCACCAGGCGTAAATCCCAAACGGACAGAGTAAAGTTAGCGTCTGCGTCTGGTGTACCTCCGGCCCGCTCCAAAGTATATGTCAACATAGAGAAAACCACCGTCGCCGGGGGTGCACCCGAATCTTCGCTCAAATCTGTCAAAGCACCGTCGACTGGACATAGCATTTCGACGAACAAATCTAGCGGAAACGGTACACCAGCAACAACTTCCATTAATGGTTCTTATAACCCGTACTCACACCTCACAACAATGGGTCCACCTCAACAGCTCGCGTCTCAATCCTACTTTCCCACTCCTACTCAAACCTCCAACATCCAGACAATTCGAGATTCCCTTCCATCTATCCAAGCGCTTCCTGCTCAATTGCAAACTTATTTACTCACAGCCCTCGCTACGGGTGTACCAGGAATTTTGCCTCCCGCGCTTGGTGGCAGCTACTCTATGCAGGCAGGTACAGGTGTCGGAGCTGTGGGTAATGCGAGCGTGATACCAAATGTTGATTCTGGAAGTGGTTTCGGGATTCCGGGTCCGTTGCTTGCACAGCCCTCAACGTCCGTCTCCTCGTCTGCGCTACCAGCACAAGCTCCTCCATACAATAACTACGCGCCGTTACAATCTGCCTCTGTTCCGCCCATGTCTGCTGCTCCTATCAATCACCCAGCTTCCTTTGCAATTCCTTACTCGTCCACAGCGTCGCTGCCCACCCATGGGCCAGGATCTACTGCTGCGCTTTCTGGATCATCCAGATCATCTTTGAGACAGAAGAAAAGGAAATCGCAAAAGACAGCAAAAGCGAGTGCGACGAAAAACAAGGAGCCATCTACAATGCCAGAAACCGTGAACGGAAACTCGAATCCAGACGCTGAAACTATGCGTGTCGGACCTCCCCGGAAGGCGACCAGGACAAAAACGAACAAGGTACCAGGAAAGGGAAAGAAAAAGAGTGAGGTTGTGGATGGGAAAGCCCCTGCCTTTGCTTCCTCATCCTCCTCCGCCGTTACGAACATTGGAGCAGCGTCGATGACCAGTGGATCTGGACTGAACCGCAAGGAGGTTACTGTAAATGAAATACCAGTACCAATCAGTGGAGGTGTGGATGGGGGCGGGGACATCGACGCAGAAGGCGAAATTGATTTGGACATCTACGCACCGTATTGCGTTGATATCAATAATGCTAATTTTCAAATATGATGTGACGGTGGATATCTAATGGGAATACGTGATCCATGATTGGTGCAATTTTGTCGAGTGAAGGTTACATACTGGATCGAGTGATATATGACACAGGAGTACTTCGTAGTATTTTTCAGTATTAATATACATAATATAACAAAATAAATTGGTCGACGATTATGTAGATGAAAAATCTTCATTGACGACAGTGGGATTCGAACCCACGCCACGAATGACTAGATTACAGAAAGTGCAGAGATAACCTGATTCTAGCGCCTTAGACCACTCGGCCATGTCGCCATAAAGTTTGTTACGTATCTCCTAGTTGTTTGGGGGTCTGCAAATTCTCGAACTTTCTTTCGCATTGCATACATACTGTATATACATTGAAACCCGCTGGACAGTACAAGTGAGAGTAGCGCACGACGTTCCGTTACAATAGTCTGATCTATTCAAAGCCTACGTCCTCTTCAGTCTTCACGTTGCTTTCGCTCCATTCTTTCCTCCGTTTTTGCCCCCGCTTTTCTTCATCCAGCTTGGCCAGCTCGATTTTTTTTCACTCTCTCGTTCATCTTTCGCTTGTTGTCTTCTTAGTGCCTCTTCCATAGTTATGCCATTTGGCCCATCGTCGGGGTCGTCATAGAAATTGCCTCGATTGGGCTTAGACGGCCCAGAATTCGGCCCAGAATTCGACCTTGCCTCTAAGCTCCTATCTGCGTCATTCTCAGCCTATGAGCAACTTCATAAGTATCTAGAGGTATCGATATCACCAAAACACCCACAGATAGAGGCACCGCAAAACCAACGGAGACAAGGGCTAAAAACAGATAGACACTGATGAAACGCATTTTGGAAAAACGGTTGGAAGGGCCTAGAAACAAAAACACCAGTCAACGATGTGCAGAAGGAGAGACGAGCCGATACGGACGCACGATACAAAACACAGATGGAGGAACAAGCAGCTTCTGAAATAGAGCAAGCAAATGGCTAGGCTGAAGAGATATCCTTTGGCCAGCAAAGGGTGGAAAATCAAGTGAAGAATAATCATGTCCATTCGAGCCACATCTTTTATATGCAAGGATAGCGACGTCCGATATCAAAAGCTCAATGCAACCAAAGCTGATACTTGTCACTCATCAAACATCCTCTTGAGTGAAACACAGTGTAATCAGTGTAGATCACCAATCACCATACGAAAGTACCGTCGGTGGTGCTTAGAGTGCGCGTGGTAATGGAGAAAGAACTTTCGGCTCCCTTCCACAATTCCAGAATCCTTGTAGAGAATGAGCTCCTCGAATGAGTTCTGAAGTTGAACGCTTAACTTTCTACGTAGTAAATAGCGACCACTTGTACATATGTTAGCTCATGTAGCTGGATCGTTCCACTTGCGTGTCTGTAGGAATCTGTATGCATGATAGGAATCATTATTATCGCAACCCATGCAAAATCCCTCACCAAAACATTAATAGGGAGCACACTTGCATTCTGTACACATGGTTAATATGGTTGATATGGTTGATGTGAAACATTTTCTTATCCCAGCAACAGGCCGCAACCTAATCACTCACCGGGACATAAACTTGCATTCTGTAGGAATCATTTTTATCGCAGTAACAGGCAGCAACAATCAATATCCTGTTACAAGTTCAGCGCCAGCGACTACATACATACTTCGGTCGACGGTGATCTTACAGCAAAAATATCATTTAAAGTAATATCAGTCGAGCGCGAAACGAAAGGATATAATATCGGGTACTTACCTTTCTATTTTACCTTTCGTTTTACACGACGACGATATCGCAAAGCGCCAGTACCACACTTGGGATCTAACTTTTTCTGATTGTGATGATGTGTTGAATGGTAACTAAAGATAAAACGCTTCTGTGAGATATTGTAAGAACACTCGAACAACAAATGTCAAGACAAATTGCCTCGTGTATACTTCATACGGATTCTGAATGGGCAGAGAAGCACGTCATATCAGAATTCCGGGCACAATGCATATTCACAAAAGTTTTCATGAAGAGTTCAGACTAAAACTATTCGAATTTGTTGAACTTCGAATAACATCCATCCAGCATCCATCTATCGCATGGCCTGATTACTTGGTATATAGTATTACGTTTCTATGAATACTATCAATGCTCGCGTCGAGGTATGATTCTGATGGAATTGGTTCCTACCTCTGGGAAAAGTTGATTGAGGAAAACCATCTAGAGTTCCTTCTTCGTCTCAGCCCCACTTCCGGCCCTCAACTTTTCGCGTGTAGAGTAAATCATGTCCGTGAACGGTCTGTCAGAAAAGGCAGTGAGATATCAGCAGTCGGACAACGGCATAATCGCGCAAGATAAAAAGTTTGGGGGGTAACAGTGCTCTTGTTTGCGAAGCATAAAAGCGCGGAAAGAGGAAATGATTAGAGTGATATGTACGCACCCTTCGAATCGCAAGGCAATAACATAGACAATGTAGACATAGAGGGTAATCAAAAGCCCAGCAGGACGTTCATACCTCCAGCTAGAGTTAGAAACGGAATGTCCACATACTAGAGAGCATCAGCACTCACCATAAGGCACCAGCAGCAAAGCACATCGTACTTCCAACATACATTGGATCTCGCAAAACATTGAAAGGGAAGCTTGAACATTGACATTGAGGGTTTTAGTTTGAATTGAGCTTACAAAAAACAAACAACCTACCCCTCAACTTTGGAGTCCATGAGGATTCCAAAGTAATCACCCAGGAAGGTTCCTGTTATACCCAATTGCCAAGTCGAGGTCAGCACGAAGATTTGACCAATAATAGCCAAAGCTGCTGGAACGATAGTGTCCCAAGGTTGGGGGAGGATGGCTTTTTTAGGTTGTTCAATTAGCGCCCGTGTGTACCTTGGACATTAAGGTGAGTAGAGTATAGAAGTGGCTGTATACTACTCACAGAGAGTCCCTCAACATTCCAAACGAGAATATCAGGACCGTGAGGAAGTAACATCCCATACGTGCATTTCCTCTAAATACTTTGCGAGTCAAAGTACGGTTTCGATGTTCTTGAAAAGCAATACGACGTCAGCAGCGTCCAATAAATGGGCAAGCAATGTAGAAAGAGCACGACGGTTCATATCAGAGATGAAAAGTTGGTTATTACTATACTCACCATTTCTGGCAACGATGTTCCACGCAGTCGGATTGAACGCAATTGAGGCTATCGAAATCCACAAAGACCGTTGGGACGCGTCAAACGGGATGTATTTTTGTAGCTGAGATATAGCAGAGTCCATAGACGTGAGATGCTCGTGAAGGAGTTCGTTGAATTTCGTAAGGATAAGTTGTGCCCTTGAACCGACAGGTGAACTGAGTTTCACGGGAAAAATTCGCCAACGTGACGTGTCTTGGAACCGGCCCGATATCTCCGAGGTTTCCGAGGAACAATTGCCTGCCAAGTGATCTGATTTTGGAAGAGGCAAAGCTGGGTGTATCGATCCCTTTACGGATTTTAATTTTCAAATGCAAAAAAAAAAAAAAAAAATTGGTAGGAGTGCGAGATGAGGTACACTTATTCAATACTTCTTTCACCATTTTACACAAAGTACACACGAACCTCTCCGTGCATCACGAGGGTCTGTAGAAAAAGACATGACATGGTCCTTAAAGGAATGTGCAATGTTTAGGGAGTGCTTTAATCATGTATCATTGAAATTTATAATTTACAGGAGAATCTACTCTGGAGCTTTCGAGCTAAAACAGCTGCTCACGAAAATTCCTTATAAGACGTTTCAAGGGCTGCTGTTCTAGGAGATGAACAAAAGAGTATCCAAGCATAACACATGATGTGTGCGAAGTGGCGAAAGCAGCATGACAGAATAGTCGAACAATGGATAAGTCACGGACACCTTCTGGTTTTCTTCAGAGCCGAACTGCCTCTGTTTCCAGCTAACCACATCATCGTTGAACGATAATCCAATACACTCTTCTCTATAAGTTCTTGACGACCCACACTCTCATTCATCCTGAAATTTCTTGATCGACTTTCTACCCTCCTTGACCAGGCGTCGAGCAAAACATTCCTACACTCCCTTGCTTGCACCACATACTCGTTTCTCAATCAATTTCGATCCGGCATCGACACGACATACTCACTATTCACTCGTTTGATTTACACTAAAAACAAAATTATGAACAACCAACAATACTTCGAGAACCGGCCGTTCGGCAACATCTGGCCAGGAAACCCAGATGGTGTTGCTGGTTACCCCGCGGTACTATCCAACCCGCAGATTTACTATGGAAGAAGAACGAACACCTCCGGCGCGACCATTACTCCGATCCCCGTCGCTCCATCACCCATTGCTGAATCAATTCCACCACCTGTGAGCAGTCAGGGTGCAATGTATGACACAGATTCCAACAAGAGGAAAAGGAAGAAACCTAAAAGGGAAGCTCCCGAAAAGAAGGTTAAAAAATATTCAAAACCTCGCTACCCTCCCAATCCTGATTTTGGCTTCTTGCGGATGGATACATCGGCGCCTTCAACTTCCCCGGAGATTTACCTATTTAACTGGCAAGCTCAAGTAACCGAAGGTAATCAAGACTCTCCAGACCTGTAAGGTTCTTGTTCCCAGTTGTCTTCCTGACAAGGCTAATATTCCCCTTGTTTTGTTCGTCACGGTGTAGCAATGCCACAGGTCAACAGAGCGGAGATCAAAGCGAGTCGGCGATCGGCCCTGAGGTCCAGCGAAATGACGGGTCATATAGCCAACAGTTCCAGTCGCTCCAGCCTTTGGTAAACACCAACTACCAGCAGAGCCAAAGCTCGCAGTTCCACCAGGGACAGTATCCTGCCGGTGCTCAGCAAGCTTATGGCCAATCGTCCCACTTGACAGCTCAAGATCGAGTGCGATATGTTGCCCGGTCCGAGAAGGTTGCTAGACTGAAGCAGGCAATGAGGCTACAGCGGTTGAGGCACGAAAAACTGATGATCGCATACCGACGGTATCTAGCATTCCATCGACAGCAGCAGCAGCAGCAACTCGCCCCCACTGTGCCGCAAATATGGTATCAGCCATACCGGGATCTGAACGGGACGTATCAACAATCCGGGCTTCCTTCGTATCAAGGCGAAATGTCTTCCGCGCAGATAGAGACTCCGGGGTCGTCTTATTTTCAACCATCGCATCAGAGTTTCGCAGCATCCTCTTCCAGCTCGACCACCTTGTATTCTGTTCCTACTCTCGACTCTACGATTCCGGACTCAAATTCACGAGATTTCTGGTCTCAGAACGGTATGATGCTAGACTCGGACAGGGGAGT